TCTGAGTCGAGAGTCCTGCAACTGCAACCGTTATAAATAAATAAAAAATACTATATATTATTTCTGTATGTGCATATTTGCAGTGTGTGGATGTATGAATATTGTTGTATAAAATTAACCAAAGTTTTCTGAAATTCTGATTCACTTCTAGTTTTCGTGGCTAATTGTGCAGCATGCTAATAAGTAACTTTTTTTTAGCATGTTTTAAATTTTATTATTAGATTACATTTATAAATTTTAAATAATGTTTATTAAATAAGACAAAAGACTACCAAATATATTTTAGTTAATAATTTATAGTAATGAATAATGAAATAATTTCACTCTTGGTGTCCACTTTTATCATTCTTATTTTACTTTAAAAAAATTAAGCATGATCTCTATTCTTAATAACTAATTGAATTAATTAGTTAATTATTAGGAAGGATTTAGTATTCTTTTTTTTTTTAATACGGACGTGAAATGTTTATTTTATGTAAACAAAAATATATTACTAGTATTTTTAGAGAATGTTCTATTATTTGTTAAAAATTATTAAATTAACAAATTTTAATAGATCATCACTTCATTAAATAAATTTATCTAGATAAGGCAGGGACAGATGATATAATTAATGGATTTACTGAACTAATAAGACCTGATTATCACTAGGTTTGGGCTAAATATAATTTATATTATAACCGAAAAAATCTGTTTATTTATAATTGTTAGTAAATTTTAATAAATTTATAAATGTTAATAAATAATAATAAAAAATTAAAGAAAAATTCTCAACTTTCTATTTCCTGCATTGCAACAAGAGCACATAAATTTCCCTTTACCATTCTTTCAGCAAATGATGGGACCCACTTGTGGTTGCCCTTTGACCTTTACAAATATGTTCAGTGCACTTTTTTTTTTTTTTTTACCCAGAGAGTGCCAAAAGAAAGTGAAAATGGAAAATGACTGCCACGTGCCAGAGGATCATCACTATTTAATAGTTAATTTTTGTTATGGTATCTTATACCTTTAAATAAAAAAATGTTGTTTCAAGCATAAAAGGAAAATTTTGCTCAATTTCTATTTCTTCGAGAAGAATACTACTCATGTGTAGGTTTTGATGTTCTTGTTGAATACCCTTTTTAAACATTTGATAAGATTGCAAGGCACCATATTCATATTTGAACTAACTTTAGTAAGATTGTTGTCGACTACAGAGACATATATTTCAGTTATCTTTGGGAACCCAAAAACTAATCCATACTATATAATATGCTTGCCCAAATTAGTAGTCACGTGCCACATAACATTTTCATGGCTTTCTCAATCTAATTTAATACATCGAGTTTTGTGTCAGTGAAAAGATGCCAACAAAATATCTTTCTTCAAATGATTAAAAAATAATTAGATTCTTAAATATAACAAGTGGCTGATAAAAAATAATTTAAGAACGAATAAACATCATTGATTAATCGAGCACTCAAAAGAATCCACTGGGATTGTTTCAGTTAGGAAAATTATAAATGAAAAGAAGAGCACTCTGTGAGTGGATTCTCTTACTAATCTGTGGCAGCACTTTCATGAAAATATTTGCTAATAACCAAATAATCATGTGCTGCCCAGATTTGTTTTTAAGCTGGCATATATTTAAAGGAGAAAAAGAATTTAAAATTAATTAAAATGGAGTATATTTGTTTTGGAAATAGGAACATTTTTTTAAAAGGGAAATTTTATTTAGTACGGAAATGTTTGGCCGAATATTAATTTGATAAAGAGAAGGTTTTGTCTTGTCTCTTTCTTTCATGGTTGTGCAAAAAAACAAAATTGATTAATTGGTTTTATGTTCGTCAATTTTTTGTATCATGGTATTTGTATTGATCAGTAGAATTTCTTTAAAATAAGAAATGATACAAACATTAAAAAATAAAAAATGCTAGGATTACCAGTGGATCAATAAAAACGTGCTTGAATTTACATCAATTAGTTACTTTTGTATTAATTTTGAATTCACATCAATTAGTTACTTTTATATTATTAATTTTGATGTGATTTTAATTTAAATGTAAATATAGACATGGAACTACACGTATATTAAAAAAAAATCACAGTGTGATTAAAGTATTATGACCATGTGTAAATCATATTTTATATAAAAATGTATGTGTAGCACAAGTGCGAGTGTGTCTAGAGGCAAGTGTGCGTGTGTGAAGCGTGACAAGATGATGGTTTAAGTGTGGCTGTGTGTTGTGTGGGATGCGTTGATTTGCTGAATGTGTAATAAATGCTTATCGCAGCTTATGGACCACTAAAACCTGTTACTTTATAAAGGCATTACAACATGTAGTATGTATTTATTTTTTAAACATGATATTGATATCACATATAAGTCTAAAGATTTTTATATTTAACGAATCAACTATTAATAGTAAAAATAACTAAATTTTTTTATAATTAATATAATCACAATATCTAAATATATGCATAATATATATATAATAATTCAACATTATAAATTAAATTAAATTAAATTAAGTTGTTGTTTGAGGAATAATTATCAAGAGCTACATAAGACAAGTACAAAAAGATTACTACCATCATCACCATTATGGCTTCACTTAAAATTTTTATTTATAATTTATTCATATTCTACTCTCATACTAAATATGATCATCACAATTTAGTCATAAAAAACATTAAAGAATAAACTAGTATACAAAAGAGTAATCATGCAAAAAGTATAAAAGTAAAATAACTACACTATCAACAATATTAACATGTAAACCATACAATAAAATCATATCATGGTCTACATCTCATCACCACAACTAATCACCTCCACGTGACATGTTACATCTTACAAAATAAGCCACTTAACTACATATGAAAATTCATATTTTGCCAAATCAATGCCATTCAACAACACCATTAACAAACATATGAACAACACCACAATCACAAACAACACATCATATCCTTAACATCTCAACTACATGTATTGTTACACATTTACCTACAAATATCTCTTACAACAAAGGTGAGCAGTATAAGTAACTTGACCCTATTAAACTACACAATCTTTTTACACCTATTAGATTAATAGCCAAATTGGGATATCCATTCCTAACAACTACCATTCAAATACTACGTCCTTCTAATACTCAGTTAGAGATTAAGCTTCTGACCTTGTACCTTACTCGATTGGTAACTTTATACACATATGTCTTGACCGTGCCTACATACAGATCAACATTGGTCACTTATAATAATGTAGCTCAACCTAATCCCTATATTGTGGCCACTTTATAGTCAATATGTTTTTACCTGACCCACATATTGCATCAATTAAGGTCGTATAGGAGACTCATATATCCATTTTAAGAGTTAACTACTCAATAAGAATTTTCAACAATTAGACTTGTATAACCCTATTCCAATTTCTTCACAATGGAATATCCAACTTTTGAAAACACACTCTCCTCTAATCCCAGGTCAACGAACATAATGTGCCTAAATGCCTAAAACATTCTCATTATCAACACCTTAATAGTTCAACAGTAAACTAACATATCATGCCTAAAACATTATAAGCATCATACCTCAATAGTTTAGCAATTTATCACACACACACACACACACACACACATATATATATACACACACACAACATCCCATATCAATATACATAGAACCAATAACACTTATCATCATACATCAAGTAATTAGATTCACCTAACCTAATAATGTTCACAATTTTAGTACACAAACAACAAGTTTTTCACAAGGAAATCTACGCCCCACACCATATGCCTTGCGCCTAGTGCCATTAAGACACGTGTTCTTTGTCTCGCCCACTTCCAACATGATTAAACCCACGCTTAGCATGGATGACGTAGGAAACCCTTATCACACTTGGTGTGACAAAGTTCACGTCTGATCCTATTTCAAATAGAGAGTTTCTAATTGACTCACGTTCAATGTCACTCCATTAGCATCAGACATCAATTCATGCAAAGAGGATTCCATTTACTAACATCCAATGCCATTCAACTTAACATATGTCGTGACCAAGTTAAAGGCAATTTCCTTTTCTCATGTTCGACGCCACCAATCCTTTGTCAAGGGCGAGTAAGACAAAGAACCTTTTATTTGAGTTATGTCTAACGCCATGATGGCGTGCCCGATGTTAGGGTGAATTTTGCACTTGTAGATTTGCAAAATTTCACCCCCTTCACTTGGAAATCAAGAAATCCAACATGCAACACATCCAACAATATGTAAACACTACTATCAACTCATACGTGGCAAAAATTCAACATGCAACCATTAAACAACTCACATTCTCCAAATCTTCATCAAAGCACCAATCCCCCATAAACCAAAAATCCAAACCTCAATTCAACAACATCCATCAAGACATGTAAGTCAACTGACGATTCAACATGGATAACAAAACATCAACAAAGATCAAGTCCTAGTTTTCCTTACCTCAACAATCACTCCAAAAAAGAGAAGAAGGTGATGGAATCATGCCTAGGAAGGCAAGAGGTGACATATTGAAGGAGCCAAGAGGAGTTGGTTAGCCAAGAGGAGTTGGTTAGACATGAAGGTGTGGGCCAGTCAAGGCCCAATGGGCCCGATGGGCCTGGGAAGGCCCAAGTTGAACTTTTCATGGGCCATATTTTGTTATAGCTAATTTCATATGTTTTGTATACATGATGTTAGTATAGGTATCACATATTTTGGTCTTGTATTTTGGACCACATAGAATAGCATTTTAGGTTTTAGGCTAGTTAGGCCTAGTTTTGGGCTTCATGGGCCTTTGGGCTTTTGGTACCCAATATTGGGCTCATTTTCATTCTTGTAATTTTTCCTTTCCATTGTATTTGTTTGACCATTGTATTTAGGTCATTAGATTAGGAAAATACAAGAAATACTAAAGTAGGTTAACTAGGTTAAATTAGGTTTAATTTGGAAGCCATTTAAGTTACATTTGAGTCACATGTTTTGCACCAATTGAGCAGCCATGGGACTCCCTGTCCTGCATTGCCACTATAGCAGGGTGATTTGCTTCTATTAAGTAGTTCACTAAAAAGTTAAAACTCAATTGGACGAAAAGAAATCGACAAAAGGAAGATTGTAGCGTCACATATGCAGGTAAAACTATCTGGCACATAACATTATGTCATCTGAAAGAAAGTCACATGGAAAAAGGATCTACAAATGCATTGAACATGGTCTTGGCCTTTACCCCGGATAAGCGGGCACTACAGGCGAATTTTCGGAAGAAACAGGCAGTGCACTGCCTCAGAAGCCCACATTTCTTACGCAAATTTCGGAAACAGGACTGGGCTGGGAATTGCGAGTGTTCTAGTTTGTGGTATTTTGAAGCAATATTGACAAGACAAACTGAAGTAAAGCTCGATATCCTTTTACATGAAATTAAGGCATCGAGAGAAAAGGCAGGGAGGCACTTACATTGCTTCAAAGAAGACCAAGCCGCCATAGCAGCATTTTTCTCTGCTTGTTTCTTGTTCTTGGCAGGTTCACCAGTAAACATGATTCCAGCCAACTTTACCGTCCCAGTAAACACAGGAAGATGTCCTAAGCCTGACCTGAATGTAAAGTACTGCGGCAACGAAGCCCCCACCCTCTGAGCAATTTCCTGCAAGAGGTTCTTGTAAACCCCCGTTTCATCCTAAAAATTTGCACATAAGAACCCAACATCACCAATTATAGAATTACCACACAGCACACAAGGCAAATCAATAGACACTCACATCAACATAGAGAGAGAAAGAAAGAAATTAAGTTGACAACAAAAAATAAAAGATGCAAAAGCGGAATCCCTATTTTAGAAAGAAATCTCAGTAAAAGGAATTAAGGGAGGGCGAGGGTAGTATGGTAATTAGCTTACGAGGATCCTGGCGGCGAGGGAGTGAGAGGGAGCGCGGTGGGAGAGGGAATTGAGGGCGACCTCGGCGGCGGAGAGCTCGGCCTGGCGGAGAGTGGAGCAGTAGTGGGGGCTCTCGAAGATCTCGCCGTTGAAGTTGACGGTGGCCTTGAAGCGAGGGGCGTGATCGGGGCCTTCCCGAATGCAGGTGTAGGAAGGGATGTTGAAGCAGCTTCGTTGGGCCAGCTCCTGAAGCTGGTTCTTGTACATTTTCCTCTCTCAGTGTCTCCAACGCGGATGGAAGCGTTAGGGTTTGAGTTGCTGATGGAAGCATTTGAGTGATAGATAACCACAAAAAATAGGATGAAGATTCAATTTGATGTACATGAATTCCGTCTTTAACAAATAATTAACAGAGAAAAGATCAAACACTAAAAGGAATAAACTATAAATATCTTTCTCTTGGAAACCTTTATCAGTTTTTATATACAACCACCAAAGCCCAATGCAATGCTTCTATCAACTCATCTTTGTTAAGATTCGAAGGAGTTGCACTTAAACACTGTTTAGAAGATTCACCTTATAATAAATAACAACAAATCCGTTTGTCCTTCAAATAGTTGTAAAACTTCTAAATCATAAAAATCAACTAGTAAAAAAATACAGGAACTAGAAAATGAAAAATAACGCATTAAGTAGTAAGCATTCAATGAATAAAAGGATATAGTCCTTCTGGTGTTCCAACTAAAATGAGTGCATAAGAACACAACCATTAAAAAAAGATCAATCATCAAAACCTAAACAGCAATGGACACATACAAATTGTACCTGTCTGAGGGTACACTCGTAATCTTCAGGGGAATATGAGGACCGAACGAGAGCTTTAGGTGGATTCTTCGGAGTGGGAGGTACCTGCAAAAGATACTCCGATGCTTAAGTCAGTGTGGGCACGATTTTCTAGGGTAATGAATGAACAGTGACATACCTTGTTACGTGTGACCTATTTATAGCATCTGACATGGGCCTGAGCGTGATGGGCCCTCTCAGATATTTACCAAATTAGGTAATACGGTACTAATTGGTCGTTTAGGCTTTAATCATGTACTTACCTTTCTTGATTGTGATTACTTGTTATGACTTGCTTAACCCTTCGGCAAGAGGCCGAGCCGGCTAATCAATACTAGTCGGAACGGCAAATGACCGAACCGTCTAGTCCGTATACGGCAGCCTGTATACTTCCGGTATGTTCTATGTCGGAACGGTACCTGACCGAGCCGACTCGATGAATGATGATGGTCCATATTTGCATTAACCAGACTGATGTCGGTTCTCGGCCTCATGCCGAGCCGACGTTGATGGTGATGCTTGTACGTGGCTATGCATGGGTGTCTGACGAAATGGCACGTGTTGGCCCACGTGACCGATACGGTCTCTCCGGTACATCAAATTGTTCAAGGCCGGGTCTTTTTTGGTTAGGAAGTTAAAATTCAATTTGAAGTGCTACAACAAATCCTCAGACTATAAGGTAATAAACTAATTAAAAATTTCACCAAGCCATTAAAAAGTAAAACTTGATTCAAGGAATATCCTGAACAGCTCCCCCTAAAAAGTTCCCAGGCAACTCATACACAAGTTCTGAGTTTTGACAAACCTGCCTTGAATGCATGGCTGTTATCGCTGTCAATAATCAAGAAAAGAGGTTTCCGAGTGAAAGGGATAAGATCGCCAGGGTAGAGATTATTTGAACCTGATAATTCAAATAAAGCACATGTAAGTGCAACTACAACAGAGATACTTGTTTCTTATATAACGTTTAATCAAAACTAACCCAAAAGATGAAGATAAAATGTATCATTTTCGTAACATATCCTGGAACAATCTGAACAGAAAATTGACAGAGAATAGATTCAGTGCAGGTACATACCACTATTTCCCTTGGGACCAAACCACAGATAATTATCATAACAGCTCAGTTCTCTCTTGCCGTTATTTAGAGTTTCGGAAGCTCCAGAATTCTGTCCTTGGGACGTCTGAGAAAGGACTTTGTGTCTTGAATTTTTGGATGAACCTCCAGAATTTTCCATCTGAGAGACATTATTATGACCAGCCTTCCCTGCATGAGTGATCAATAAGGTAACTAACCTAGTATACCACTACAGACTATTCTTAGTTGAAAAGACAGTAAATATAAACCTGAGGCTGAAAGATATACTAGTACAACACAATCTGGTGGCAGCTCCTCACAAATTGTAGCCATAACCTGCACAACATCATGAAGCTTACGTAAGAAATAAAAACTTGTATGTTCAAACAGCCTGTGAAAAATTGCATTCAATAGAATCTAAACAGCCATTTTTGACAAGAGGAAATTTTGGCATCAGTTCATGAATTAGATCATACAGCACGAAGGAAAAAGCAAACACATTTAAGTGTGCGAAAACAGACAAGTTATACACTAGAATCAATGAAGCACACCAAAGGCAATCAAGAATATCCAAGTCGTGATAGGAGAAGCTGTAAAATAGCCATGCTAAATTATTTGATATTGACAAGGCCTAGTTACCAGAACAGCCTATAGATTTTAGTAAGTAGACAAGCCAAGTATGCAACACAATTTCCAATAGGCTTGAAAACTCACTGCTATCACATGTGTCACAGATGGACGGTACAGGGTAGCCTTTCTAGGATTAGGAGGTATACTTGGATCAGTCATATCTGCAGTAAGATTCATGTCTATTATCCCAGAGGCTCCTGAATGATCAATTGTGTCACCATTCTCCTTAGGTTTAACTGTATGCTTTTGGTAGAATGTTCCACTAGGCTCCCATTCTAAACATTGTATCATTCTATAGATGTCCAATGTGAGCTCGGCAAACTTGACCTGAAAGTGAGAATATATAGAGATTCATAAGCTTCAGTCCCTTTCAGCTACTGAAGTAATTTATTAATCCAAATTTAAGAACCACCACAGCAACGTGAATCAGTATTAACCTCATTTCGATGATAGCTTGTCAACAGTGCATCTTGAAATTTTAAAACCCTCTTTGCATGAAAACGAGCCACACAAGGAAGAGAAGCTCGATGAGTATCAAATGTGGCACAATAGCGCATTGGCCTGAAACTAAAGCCCTTATCGACTTTTGTGAATCGGTTAATTTCTTGCACAACTTGCTTCCATTCCTTAAAATTAGTTTCCTGAAAAAGAAATGATTCACATTCATAAGTCAAAGAGGTAATATAGATATATTATTTCTCCAAATGAATATTTGAATACAAAGCATCCACAAACTACATTATAACAAAGTTTCATGAAATTTTTTTATCTAAATGAAAAACACCTGAAGCAGAACAATGCAGAGATGATCAAGGTCCCAGGCCAGAAATATAAAGTTCAAGTAATTTTACAAAAATTACCAAATATAGTCAATAGGACTGTTGGCATCATGCGAATAATGAAGCATCACTTTTACTCTCCTGGGTCTGTGATCTACTTATCAAATCAACACATGTAATGCATTTAGTAATTTCAGGACCTTATGTTTTGTTTTGCCAACTGACAGCAACTTTGTTTTTATTATTATGTGCTTCCTGACAAGAAATTCATATCAGACTTTCAAGACATTGTTCATTAAATTATTAATTATGTGTGCATAGGACTGTAGGAGCATATCTGGTGAGTGCGTCCTCTTATGAGAGGAACTGATTTTTACCATAAAATCATAAATATATAATCAACATCAGATTTAAGTAAAACAATCTTGACTATCCATGTTTAGTAGCATGACCAAGATTTAACTCCTCTTACATCTCACGCTCACATTAGATACACACACTTTATATAAACAGGGTTCGAAAAGAAGATCATCATTCATCACTCCAACAACAATGTTATTCTGGAAAACTGCCTCCCCAACCCCAGTCGGTATAATATAGTAATCAACACACATAATACATTTGGACCTTCAGAATCATTTGTTCTGTTTTCCAACTGGCAGCAATTTCTTTCTTGATTATTATATACTTGCCGACCATCACTTCATATAAGATTTGAAAGAAAATCACCACTGCACCAATACTTTATCATAGAAAACTAGCCCCTGCAGTCAGTATAGCATAGTAGAGTATAACTTGAAATTCAGTTGATTCAAGCACTGATATGGTTCTAAAATGGGAGGCTCTTTTTCTAAATTTCACCACTTGCTTTTCTTTATTACTGCAAAACTGAGAACCTTCAATAACCTTGACATACAACCTCTTCCAGAACACCACAGATCACTTTCATAGTTCATACAATAGTCAGGTGTAACATAAAGATAAACTAGTAGCTAAGGCTACCAAAACGGTCTACTCCAAAACAAAAGGAACCAAAAGTTTGCTTAAATTATTATCCACTACATACCCATCAATTTTATCCCGTGGAACCAGATGTCAATGAAATAAAACTTACATTACTTATTTCATAAACCTCGTACAACGGGATTCTAACATACTTCAGCAACAAAAACTCTCTCCCAAAACCAGTCATAACAGAGGAACCATCAACTGTGAATTCAACCATATCACAGATCAAGGCAGCAAATCATCGCTGTTCTGTTCTATCATATAGCCCAAATCACCTGAGATGAAACCTACGGTACGGACCCTAAATTAAGTATCATAGAACGACCAGGCAGGAACCAATGGATACTTACACACTTACTTAATCTCTAAGTCAGAGCATTTTCAGGCACAATCACAAGAAAGCAGAGGTCATTTCACTCCTAATTAGTAACTTCGTTAGCAAAAACGAGAAGAAAAAAAATCGAATAATATTAGTCCACTCTCCTTCTCCGGCGGCAGTGGAACAAAAAATGAAGCGAAATTGAGAAAGAATGCAGTACCCGGAAGGTAGCCTTGCAATCTTCAACTAAAGCGACGAAGCGTTGAACGAGGTGGTTGACCATGTCGGTTCGGTTGAGAATGAGCGAAACGAGCAAGAAGCGCGCGTAGAACCTCAACTCCTTGGACCTGACTCCGAGATCTTTGGCGGTGGATTCGGATCCCTGGAAGTACCTTCTGCTGAGAATGGCCTCGTAGAAGACGTAGGCCTCGACGAGGAACCTGCACTCGCTGCTCCTCATGTACTGCCCGCTCTACACCACCCCAACCCTCAACTAATGACTTTAGATCACTACTCTAGTATTCAACAATGGACTTCTACGACTCTCAGAAGCTAAATAGAATAAAAGGAATATCTTTAAAGCTCTAGAGCTCCTTTCATTACTATCTTTCTAAATTTTTACGAGAAATTAACTTATAAAGCCCAAGTTAAAAAAAAAAAAAATAAACACTTTATATACCTTTTCCTTAAGATCAAATTGAATATTTGTCGAAAAAAACACTCTTAATCATCTAAACTCACAAAAATTCTTAAATCCTGAAAATTTCTTAACAATAAACGCCAAATCTCTACAACCATAATTATTGATAAGAAATAATAATTAACAAAAATAGGACGTTACATGAATTATTTATCATTAAAAACAAAAACTAATTTCCGTTAAAAATTATGATTATACATAAAATGAATATTTTTTCTCCCAAGAAAATAGTTGAATTTGTTATTATTTTTATTATTTATAAATTAGAGAATAAGAAAATAAAATAAAATAATTTTATTTTGTAAAAATTACTGTAACAATAACAAAATATAAACTTAGGACGAGTGATTAATAGAATTTAGTTTAAACACAAGGAAAAAGTATATAAAATAAATTCCGTATAACTTTTTTAATCTTTTATTTTTTTTCCACATCATAAATTTGTCGAATCTGAAAATAATTATTTGAATTCAGGTCTGGTGGGTAAAGTTGTCCAGCTGTTAGCCAATAGCCCATAAACAGGCAGCAACTGGAAGAAGGACATTAAGAAATAAATTAAAGAAGACAAAACGACCCATCAAATGAATTAGGTTCATGCATTTTTTTCCACTGATACCATTATAATTATTATTTTATGTAAATTTTTGACATGCCAACCCTATTTATTATTTGTGTTATAAGAAAATAGGCGAAAGAAATAAAAATGACCTGTATCAGATTTTTTAAAAAATTTAAAATAAATAAAATCAATTCATTTTATAAAAGTGGATCCATTAATCATTTTATTTCTCATAAAGTAAATGACTTCAGTTTTTAAAAAATATAATCAAATTTTGTTAAAATAAATCAAACAATATAAATAAATTTTGAAAAATTAGATGATTTTCAATTTTTTTTCAAAATAAATTAATTTATTTAGTATAAATCAGACCGATCATGAATGAATTCGAATCGATTTACATTTTTAACGCGGACTAAGATGCATTCATATTTGTCAATTGCCACCACGTTATCATAGTGATATTCCACGAAAGGGAGTGAGTTCAATAAAATTTGTCACCATCTTGGTTTGATTTTTTCTAATGAATTTAATCTCACGGACGACAGAAGTCAAACCATATACTATAATTCTTTGTGGATCATGTTCGTCTCTGTTAAAAGATGAAGACATTATGACGTTGACACATAAATGCATGCTTAAATTAAACAGCTGTATTGAGAAAATTCATTGTGAAGAGAAACTCATAAAATGTCAACTGCGTTTACACTTACAATATGATGCCAAAATTTATTGCAGAAAAACAATGTACAAGTCATTTATTTCAACTCTAACAGTGCTGAAAACTTAAAACAAAGGTCCATGTTGTCCAATCTCGTGCTTCTTCATCTCACCAAGAAATTGCTATACCAGTCAATGATGGAGCTAGTGATTTAGGGCAATTTTATATATTTACACTTTTTTTTTCTTCACATTTTCTCATTTTGTTACATTTCAAAAAATAGTTTTAAACATAAAAAAAATGAATAAAAAGATAAGTAAATAATTGAGTTCTTTGAGCTTACTAAGAGAAATTTAATTTTTAGACTTTATATATAGAAATAATAGAAGCAAAACCTGTAAAACTTAGGCTTATAAAAGAGATTTTATAAGCTTGTTTTTGAAATAGTAAAGTTAGAGTAGGAGAAGTTGACTCTTTGATTTTTTTCTAAATTCTTTGTTCTTAGTATAATTGATTAGTGCTTAAGGAGGGTATGGGTTGTGTGTGAAGCTCTTAAAACTTAAGCTCGAGTTTGTGCGGAGCATGTTCTTCCCTTTCTACTTGACAGATTTTGATTCTCCAAATAAGTAAGGAAAGTTTGTATTGTCCATGTGTGGTATGCATGTTGTTTGATACCTTTCAAAATCTCCAATTTCATGTTATATTAATTGTTGGGTTCATTGTTGGTTGAGTTGTGGGTCACGAAGGGAATTTGGAATTTTGGTGTTCTCTTGAGTGAGTTGAGCAAAAATAGATAATTTTGATGTCTTGATTGTTGCATGTGTTGTGTTTGGTTGAAAATGAGTTGAGAATGTTGCATATATGTAAAATTTGATGTTGCATGTAGTTGTTTCTAAGTTTCATGTGTGAATTTGAAGTTTTGAAGTTAAATGATTAAGTAGTTATTTGGTCTCGATGTTGAGCATTGCTTTCAATGTTGTGCATTTAGGCTAACAAAGATTCTGATGCTGAGCATTAGGCTGACAAAAAATTTGGGATTGAGCATTGCTCCCGATGTTGAGTATTGCCTTCAATGCTAAGCATTGGGCTGATAAAGGACTCAAGGTTGAACATTGCTCTCGATGTTGAACATTGCTCCTGATGCTGAGCATTGGGTTGACAAAGAATTTGGGACTAAGCATTGCTCCTAATGCTGAGCAACAAATCCTCTATTGCTTCTCCCATGTTCCTCTTGATGACATTAAGAATAAATTAAAAAAAGGTTTTGAAGTTATGAATCTTTAGCTCATGGTGAATTCTTGATGTATTGTTGCATGTTGCTTTGATTGTGATATATGGTGATGAATGTCTATATTGTAAGTTGATAGATGGATTAATGATGTTATATTGTAAGTTGTATGTTGTATAGTTGTTATGTTGCAATTGAAGTTGTTAAGTTGAGATTGATATTGGTTCAGTTGTTAAGTTGTTTAGTTATTTAAAGTTGAAAGTTGTAAAGTTATGTTGTATAAAGTGGTAAAATTGTGAACATGTGGTGAGATATATGTCTAAGTTGAGATACATAGATGTTAAAGGTGAATTAAATTATTTTTTTCTAAGTTGCTTCCCTTTAGGGTCTATGAGATTTTGGTATGGAAGTAGTCGAACCATATCTTAGTTAAATGACTAATTGAGTAAAGTATAAAATTGAGGGTCAAAATTCCTAACATAGCATTGGAGGTTGTGATATTTGGATAATAGTCAACGGACTAATCCCATAGATGAAGTAGTTGAGTTAATTAATGTCGTGGTAGGCTCATACTCAAATTGTTATATCTTGACATAATATCATACTTCATTGTTTGAGTGACAAAGCCTCAGAAATCAAACTAAACTATCCATACTTGACTCTCTTATGAGTTTTAACACTGTCTTATACTTGAATTGATTGAGATAGGTCTAATGCTATGATTTGGTAGGGACAAGTCACTTAATAAACTGTTTACCTCAGTTATAAGAGATCTCCTTAATTGACATGTGTGACGATACATTAGTTATTAATATATGTATGTTGAGATGTTGATTATGAATAAGTTGATAAATATTGAGCATGTTATAAGTTGTGAGTTGTATTATTGTCGATCTATGTTTTTGTTACTTTAATTGTATTATTGTATGTTGTTTATTTCGTAAGGATACTCTTTTTTTCCTTATGGTTGGAATTATCATGACCATACTTAATATGTGAGTCATATTTTGGGAGTCATTAATTGGCCGTATAAAAGACATTTTTGTAGTGTGTACTAGATTTTATACATTGTATATATCACATATATTTTACTTGATGCATGTTTTCGCTTCTCCATCAATTTCTTTTTCTACTAATAAATGTAATGACATGCCCGATCATTACAAAAATCACTTTAATTAATTCTTTATGTTTTAAAAGAAATTAATTTTCAACTTCAAGATATACATTTAATTAAATGTAGAATTATTATGTGATTGTCTGATTTATGGCATATTGGTAAATAAAACTTGGGCAAGAGAAAAAATGGGTGACGGACCTGCTTGTAAATTTCTGGAAGTGCCTGTTGACCCATAAATAACGTGAAAAAATAAAAAACAAACAATGAAAGAGAGATTACATACGATACGGCATCTGCATATTCAATATTTATTTAATTATATTAAATTAAAAAAAAACTAATTTCATATGTATTAAAAAAATTAGTTAACCGTATTAATTTTAATATGAGTTAATTACTTATACACTGCCAGTGTAAAAAATTTTACACTGACACTGACAACTAACTATATCTTTTAATTGTGACATGTCACTGTTAAAAATAAATGTGTTTACAGTGACATGACACAATTAAAATATATAATTAATTGTCGGTGTAAAAATTTTTTACATTGACAGTGTATAGGTGATTAACTCTTTTAATATTATTCTCATAATATCTTTTCTAAATTATCTTTATTATAAATATTTAAAAAAAATGTAACTAGAAGGTCATATATTAAATGAATAATATTTATAAAAAAAATATCACTAAATGAGAGAAAAATAATTTAAAATATGTTTCTATATAAAAATAAAAAATGTGAATTTATTTTGATGTTTATGATACAGAATAGAGGGAGTGAATTTTTTTATGACAAAACAGTTGGTGTTATTATTTAATTACAATTAAAATATTATCTTAATAATATATTTACATTTAATAAATATTTTATTAATATATATTTAAACATACTTTTTAAGATAAAAATTTAATTTTAATTAGAGAATAACACTAATTATACCTAAGAAACTACAACTTTATTCTTCTTTATAATTCATTATATATCAAGGAGTATCTATGTCAAACTACAGGAAACTAATCGGGGTTTAACAAGCACCTAATGGATAGACATGCTCTTTCAATTTGATTTTTTTACGTGGATTTCCAATTCTGACTATTTAGCTAAGAAACGATAATCTTTTAGTTGATGGGAATATAATTAATTTAAAAATTCTATAAAGCTTTGACAAAAAATATATACTATAAATTTAGAATAAAAATATTGATATTTTCGAACTTAACATTAATTATTCTATGTTTAATAAGATACTATTTATGTAAATCATTTTTCAGAAATTGATGGAAGCATTTAAAAATTATAAGTAAAAGATTTTTTTTTTTCATAAGTAAAAGATTATGAGAGTTGAAGTTTTATAACATCATTTTATGTAATAATTTATCATAATTGTTAATATAACTAAGTCGACATTTATGTACTAAAAAATTTAATGTCGTGCTTTATTTATTTATTATCGTCAAAAAAATTAATGTCATGTTTTACTTAATTATTATTGTTAATATAGAAGTATGATATTTTTAAATGATGAAATGCTTATTTAATAATTTTAAATATTGAAATGCTTATTTAATAAAAAAATTTCATTTGAGTCCTTATGTCGTAAATTTGTAAAAACTGTTATTATAAATTAAAAAGTTTATACTATCAATTAAATTAATAAAAAAATATTGTGAGAATTTGTAACATCCCAAATTTTATTTAATGAAAAGAAATATTTCTTTAACAAATAATTAACAGAGAAAAGATCAAACACTAAAAGGAATAAACTATAAATATCTTTCTCTTGGAAACCTTTATCAGTTTTTATATACAACCACCAAAGCCCAATGCAATGCTTCTATCAACTCATCTTTGTTAAGATTCGAAGGAGTTGCACTTAAACACTGTTTAGAAGATTCACCTTATAATAAATAACAACAAATCCGTTTGTCCTTCAAATAGTTGTAAAACTTCTAAATCATAAAAATCAACTAGTAAAAAAATACAGGAACTAGAAAATGAAAAATAACGCATTAAGTAGTAAGCATTCAATGAATAAAAGGATATAGTCCTTCTGGTGTTCCAACTAAAATGAGTGCATAAGAACACAACCATTAAAAAAAGATCAATCATCAAAACCTAAACAGCAATGGACACATACAAATTGTACCTGTCTGAGGGTACACTCGTAATCTTCAGGGGAATATGAGGACCGAACGAGAGCTTTAGGTGGATTCTTCGGAGTGGGAGGTACCTGCAAAAGATACTCCGATGCTTAAGTCAGTGTGGGCACGATTTTCTAGGGTAATGAATGAACAGTGACATACCTTGTTACGTGTGACCTATTTATAGCATCTGACATGGGCCTGAGCGTGATGGGCCCTCTCAGATATTTACCAAATTAGGTAATACGGTACTAATTGGTCGTTTAGGCTTTAATCATGTACTTACCTTTCTTGATTGTGATTACTTGTTATGACTTGCTTAACCCTTCGGCAAGAGGCCGAGCCGGCTAATCAATACTAGTCGGAACGGCAAATGACCGAACCGTCTAGTCCGTATACGGCAGCCTGTATACTTCCGGTATGTTCTATGTCGGAACGGTACCTGACCGAGCCGACTCGATGAATGATGATGGTCCATATTTGCATTAACCAGACTGATGTCGGTTCTCGGCCTCATGCCGAGCCGACGTTGATGGTGATGCTTGTACGTGGCTATGCATGGGTGTCTGACGAAATGGCACGTGTTGGCCCACGTGACCGATACGGTCTCTCCGGTACA